ATCTATTAAAAATCTATCTATCTATCTATCTATCTATCTATCTATCTATCTATCTATCTATCTGTTCATATCTCTCTTTAGACTATGTATCTATCTATCTATCTATCTATCTATCTATCTATCTATCTATCTATCTTAATCTGTTCATATCTCTCTTAGACTGTACAGATCTATCTATCTATCTATCTATCTATCTATCTATCTATCTATCTATCTATCTATCTATCTATCTATCTATCACAGAGACCGATTGGTTATCAAGAAATCGCTATTTTTATTAAGGATTTGTATATTTACTTATACTCAAGGAGTCCTACTTAGGAAGATTGACGCCACACAAACTTTCAAACTATCTTTGTATTCCCCCCCCCAATCTACTCTAAACTGATAGGATCAGTCCGTGCTACCTATTGACTCTGTAAACTCCAGATTGTGCACACCCACACGTACGATCCAATGCCAACTTGTCACACCGTGGACGGGGCTGTCGAATTTGCGACCGCGTTTAATTAGCGTCACCGATAAAAAAAATAAAAAAAAAACACTGCCGAGTGTGTTTACAACGCGTGTGCCATCTTTTTAGAGAATACGTAGCCTTGTTTTTGTAAAACACTGTTACCTTCCCATCGACCGCTGCTATTCACGCTAGAAAAAAGAAAAGAAAATTGGACCGACTTCAGCCATTGATGTGCACTTGCATGTTGACACGCCCATTTAAAATAGTTCGATTGCTTTCCCTTCTTCCTCGCACATATTCCATGAACTTACTAAGAATAGCTTACGAGCATAACATATCTACATATTTATCTCATTATATCTTAATTAACACACACACACACACACACACACACACACACACACACACACACACATATATATATATATATATATATATATATATAATTTATTCGAAAATTATAACATAAATATGTTATAAAATCACTACAAAATGTGATGCTATTACAAGTGATGGTGTAGAATTAAAAAAAAAGCTTTTTTATTCTACATTTAACACCATCACGTGATAAGACACCAGAAGTGTTGAAACAAAATGGCTATTTTTTGTAGAGATTACATATTTATGTTATAATTTCCGAATAAATTATATTTGCACTACTCTGTATTGAGCACTATTTAAGAATAGTATTTTTTGGTTATTGGAATTTATTCCATATACACCAATCCTATACTTGGTTATATATATATATATATATATATATATATATATATATATATATATATATATATATGATATCTGTAAAAGGACAATATGAATAAACACAAAGGAAAATTTATCCTGGCTGACGCGATTCATCCTCTGAGGACTTTATCAAGGCAAATGCTGGGATTTTCTTTTGTAACAAGTATTTATATACAAGAGCAAAAATGTCATTATCTTTTCAAAATCTTTAAATTTAAGAACGTTCATAAATATTCCCCAGGTTATCCGAAATGTCGAGACAAGCTATGGAAGACGCTAATTTACACAATCCAACGTCTAATAAACGAAAGTGACTAAATGATGTTATTGATTCTTTTTTAATGTAAGTTAGTATTTACATTATTTTAGTTTGGGATTAATATATTTTAAAGAACATGAAGTTATGAAGTTAACTGTTTTATTTTAGGTTTGTAACATTTTTATAGTCCTTTATTTTGGCTTGGCTAAGTAGTGATTCATTCAGGAACGGAGATAGTAGAAAAAAATCGGGGCGCAGATTTATATTTTGATAAGATTCAATAGCAGCACTCTTGAGAATTTTCTGTCTAAGTAAGTTACTTTCTCTTTTAATAAGTGTGTCATTCTTTAGATCAAAGTTCTGGTTGAATTTATTTCTATAAATAACTAATGCGTTTGATAAATGATATAGAAATATATGCGTTCATATTGTTTGAAATATTCAATAATTATGGGGGAAGAATGTTCTGTATCGGAGAATAAACGTTTGTAGGTATAGACACTGTCGACATAGGTATCAACGCTGCCTGGTGACTGTCTGAAAAATTGGAAGATAAAATATCTGCCGACTGTTGTTTTCGCCCTAAAATTATATATACATTTGATTTTAAAAATAGTGCCGCTCTAATAAAAATTCATACACAAACACACGCACACCCACATCCATATAAACACACACGGACCAAGGGCACGTGAGATCAACCTGACTAGCGAAAACAAACAATACAAAATTCAAAGTACGAAACATTCACTTTCATAAATCATTTATCCAAAAATTCAGATGAAACTAAAAAAAAAAAAAAAAAAAATTTGGAAACATTAAATTTATAAAGGATTTTCTATATATATGTGAAAAGTGTATATAAATATAAATAAATATATATATGTATAATTATTTATATATTATATGTGCGGTACTTATTAGAAAGCGCTCAATATCAGAGATAGAGTCCAACCAAATATATATATATATATATATATATATATATATATATATATATATATATATATATATATATATATTTTCAACCACCTGATGAATATTTATGAATATTCCCAAATTTGAAAGCCTTGACACGCCAATGACATCCTTGCTCTTGTATAAGAACACGTGCAACAAAATAAATCCTTATATTTTCCTTGATAACGTCCCTCAGAGGATGAAACACGTCGTGTATGTATAGTTTTTCCTCTTGTATTTTTATTCCTACACACACACACACACGCACACACACACACACATACAAACACACACACACACACATATATATGTATGTGTGTGTGTGTGTGTAAAGTAATTTTTAGCGTTTTTAAACAATTTTTAAAGAATCTGTAGATTTTTATTTATTAAGTGAATGTAATGGATTCGACTGGAATTCGAACACGACTCTTCGATTCCAAACCGCTATCCATTAATCCACATGTATTGAATTTAGCGTCAAATTATAGGGGACGCTTGGCAGATGGAAAAACAGTAACGATCCATCAGTCGGTAATGGGACACCACTGAATGAGCTTGTGCATTTTGAGATTCTCTTATTCATAACGAAAAAGCATTAAACGTTGCTTGAAACTTGGGCATTACTGTATAGAAACTATTCGAAATATAGATGTGATTTGATGATCGATTTTTAGCATCAACGCTTCAAATTGACCTGAAATCCGTTGAAAGCGATCTCTAATCTGGAGGGCTTTCAATAAGGCGAACACTCGAAAAGTGCTGAATATATGCAGATTGCAATTAAACGAAATCGACGACTGAAATTGCGAGAATCAGAAGATCTGAGAATTCCAGACTCTTTCCAAATTGCCTCTCGGGCAGATGTTTTTTGAAGATTTTTGGCAAATCATCCAGGTCTGCCGGCTCTCTTAAAGTTTGTAGGTTTCCTTAAAGCTATTAAAACTGCATGGTGGAGATTATAGAGAACGCGATGAGTCATCTGATGGTAATCCCGAAAAAGGATTTTACAACTTGTTTGGAAATGTGTACCGGGTAAGTGATCTCGCAAGTGGAAGTAGGGTACCATTATCTTAGATAGATTATTATTTTTAGTTCATATGAAATAGCTGGATATTTTCAGGAAAAAAAAAACTTGGTATATCGCTTATTCCGTCACTAATCAAAAACAAATATGTGCATATTGCAGAAAGTACATCAAATTCTCATTGTTTCTTTCTCCATAGTAGATTGTATTATGGAGTACTTGCGCATCGTTATAATGAGCCTGTCATTTACAAATACAAATATCGGTTTGTACCCCGAGGTGCCATAATAAAAAAACTCTTCCTTAAAGACGGATGACGGCCCATAGAAGTTTTTCTTTCCTTGTAAGATTGAGAACGCAAAAACGGCCTTTTTCAGCCCCTCTCCAATCAAATTGTTAACACCCCCCATTTGGTTGCACCCAATTGTTGTTACTAATATTGAATTTCGGTTTGGCTGCTTCAATTGAACGGCAAAAATTCCCAGTAATTAAACACCTGATCGATGACGGGTTATACTGCTAGTAGAAAGATAAAAGAGCCATATTAATTTTGAAAAAAAAAAATCAGGCAGACAAGAGCAAGATAAAAGAGCCCTATCCATTTTGAAAATAAAAAAAAATAAAACAAACAAAAAAAAAATAAAACAAATTAAGACTGACAAGAGAAAGATAAAAGAACCCTATCTTTTTGGACAAACCGCGTTAAGGCTAACAAAAGAAAGGTAATAGAACCCTACATATTTGGGCAACCTACGTTAAGGCTGATAAAACAAAAATACAAAAATCTATCCATTTGGCAAAACAGAAAGGACAGAATTCACACAAACAAAGCTGCATATATTTGGGTTGAGCTTGTAATCCATACAGTTGCTTGCTGTTCATCTCAGACGTGTTTTGGAAATAAAAAATATCATTCTCGGTTGATACAAAGAAAGAAAGGTCAGCGGTATAAGACATGTTACATCATCGATTTCACTTTTTTTCCGTCCACGATTTGTTCTCGGGTGTACATGTATCTCTGGAAGTTGCATGCTGAAGATTAGACACTGTTCGATTCCACCCAAGGTAAAAACAGAATTGGATGAGACACAAAAGAACAGTTCGAAACGGCTAACATCGTCACGTGAAATGGTAACAAAACTCTCTCTGTAAGGAAAAGAATTTTCTCTATTCTTTAAAATTACCTGGTATAATTTAAATTCGCAGACAATCTCTCTTTTTTTCTTAGATGAGATATAGGAATTATTTTAGAAAAATTCACGTTGTTTTTATTGGTAATTTTCGTTTTATGCAATATTTTTATTTATTTATAGATGCTGATGGGTCCATCGAAAAGCTGAATGATTAGAATCGAAAAGAAAGATGATTAGAATGGAAAAGCCGGATGATTAGAATCAAAAAGCCTGATGATTAGAATCAACATGCCAGATGATTAGATTTTAAAAGCCGGATGATTAGAATCAAAATGGCGGATGATTAGAATCGAAAAGCAGGATGATTAGAATCGAAATGCCGGATGATTAGAATCGAAAAGCCGGATGATTAGAATCAACATGCCGGATGATTAGATTTTAAAAGCCGGATGATTAGATTTTAAAAGCCGGATGATTAGAATCAAAATGCCGGATGATTAGAATCGAAATGCCGGATGATTAGAATCGAAATGCCGGATGATTAGAATCGAAATACCGGGTTATGAGAATCGAAAAGCCAGATTATTAGAATCGAAATGCCGGATGATTAGAATCGAAATGCCGGATGATTAGAATCAACATGCCGGATGATTAGATTTTAAAAGCCGGATGATTA